ATTCATGATATATCAACAACAATTCTTTTGTTTCAAAAATTGTTGTTGGTTTTGCGGTTGGGCGCATCGCCGCTTCCGTTGAAGTTGTTTATTACACTAGACGACCCTGCACATTCGCCACTAACTTGTCCTTCATCTAGCCCTTTGGCTTGCCTACGAGCTTCTTCTTCAGCCTCTTCCCTGGCGATTCTTTCAGCATCTTGTCTCAGGGAATTTGCATAATCCATCAGGCCAGATGTTCGCAACTCTTGGTTATCATCATCATCTGATAATTCCGCAGCTACTGGTGCTGGCTGAATAATTTGTCGAACACGCTCCTGCAGGACAATTTTAATAATTACCTCCAAAGTTGATGTTGGTGCAAATGGAGGCGGCGCAAAGGGTTCGATGGATAATTTGAATCAAAATCGTTATTAAAATCGGATACAAGGAGTCATAAAGTAATTTTGAATCGTATCGATATTTATTGGAAAAGTGCATATCACGCATGTTTGAAGTAAAACTTGATTTGCATTCGGTACGTGTTTGATCGATCTTAAAAAAACTTTCGGAATACTTTTGGTTCCATTGCAAAATTATTTTGAAGAACTAGTTTCACCAACAAGGGGAACCTCAGGTTTACTCTTCTTGGATTTTGATGATACTTTGCATAGTGATAGAGTTGTTAGTCAAAATGAATTTAGTAAAATATTATAGATCTGTGAAAAGTGGTTTAATTAAGGAGCACAACTAGTGTAACCGCCTAAAAAAAGGTGATTTTTGGGAATTTATATTAAAAAAACTACTTTATCAATCGTTTCAACATTTTAGAGATATATTTATGCATGTTTTAAGAATACAGAGTGAAATTTTCGAAGAAAAAAATTAAATATTTTTTAAGTTATCGTCGATCTCCATCGACGCGACAAAAAAAGCCCTTCACTGCTGCAGTGATTCCGGCCTTCTACGTGGATGAAATTTAAAAAAAAAATCTCGTTAAAGTAGATAATATTGTCTGTAAAATTAACTACGATAAAGAAAAAAAAACAAAAATTGACAAAATGACGGCGTTTTTAAAATAAAAGTCGAATTTTGCTCGAAATTTTGGTCGTTTTTGGACTGCCAAAATTCGATTTTTGATCCGATCAACAAATCGATAGTTTATTTTATGGAGAACTATATATAGAACATGTAAAAAAAATTGGATTCTTTATTTTTGAGTAATCGCTGCAGCAAATTCAGAAAATGCTGTTTCGAGAAAAACGCGTTTAAAGATAAAATGATCGTTATACCATATACTATATATATACTCTCAAAAACTATTCAAGATATCGATTTAAAATTTTGGTATGTTATTTTTAAAAGTATAACTTATCGAAATATGGAAAAATTGAAAATTCGATTTTTTGAAAATTTCACACTAGTTGTGCCCCTTAAAAACAATAATAAAATATGTGCAGTGTTTCCTATCGATACGACGTCGGGTTGATATAGTGGTTAAGGCGGCGGGCTAATAATTTCACATTTAATCGTTTTTCCTGTCAGACTTCTAAATATTTTTGAAGTAAAACTTCCTTAGGCGCGACTAGGGGGTAAATTTGTACAGATGCAACGAAAGAGCGTTACGTTCGACTTGAGTGCCAATGAGCTCTCGATGATATCATTTCTATACGGGTCGATTGTAATTGCAATTATATTTATTTAAAATTTTAGTATGTGAATATATAAACGTGTTTAGGTGGAATTTTAATAAATTTTATCTAATTTCTGCTAAAAATTGCACAGAACAAATTTTGTTTGTTATTTGAACAAACGTAAAATAGTGTCTCGTATTCATATTATGCCTTCAAGTTCACATTAGTTGGATTTTTTTACATAACAGTTTGTAATGTAACTTGTAAAAGAGTTTATACAGTATTTTAGTAAATTTTATCTGGGTTTTCATAAGCTAAATCGAAAAGAAATGTTCGGAAGAAAATTTTCAAGTTATTAGAAGAAACGTAAAAAAGTGTCCCGAATCCATATAATACTCAATACGTAAAGATTAGGGTTTGTCGGTTTTCAAAAGCCGGTTTTAAAAACCGTTTTTTGCGAAAATTATGGAATTCAAAAGCCGATTTTTTAGTGAAAAAGTCGGTTTTCGCTGTATAAATGGAAAATGACAAATGTAGCCAAATGTAAAAGATAGATGAAAGCGTTTTGATTTTTGAAATCATATCGGTTCAATAGCATTTGATATCTTATCAGTCTGCAATGGTTCCCAGAAAGGTTTTGTATATATTAATTTAGATTTTTATACCAGTGTATATATTAATTTAAATCAGTGTGACTTCTTCTTGAAGAAGTAACTTCCTCTACTCTAAATTAAAAAAAAGAGTTATAAACGCTAGAAGTCACAAATGAAAGAACAAAAAGCTTAGAATTATTATATCAAGCTTTAAAAACAATTAAGTATGAAAGTATTTTCTATTTCAGTAGCTATTCGATAGACGTTCTCAGTTTTTTGAATTCATATTCTATTCAACAAAAAACAGTTAGAATGTTTAAAATTAATTAATTAAAATTTTTCGGAACAGACAATACCCGATTTTAGATTAATTGTTTTTAAAACTAAAATTGATATTAATAAGTATGTATCAACATTTATCTATTTTTTTTTAAATTTAATGACAATTTTTTTTTATTCGAAAACTATCCTTTCACTATCATAAAAATATTTTCATTCTTATATGTGAAAATGATGCATGAATAACGAATAATAATAAAAAGTTATTTAATCAAGATAAACTATTATTTTTTAGTTCTACTAATTAAAATTAAAATAATTTTCTTTACTATCTATAAAATTGAAAAATAGATAAATTCAGTCAAATACTGCTCTAAATCACACTAAATTTGCGGTTAAATTACAAAATATTCGAGCAAAAATTTATTTTCTATAAAAAATTCGAAAACCGGTTAAAACAGGTTTTCTAAAATATCGGATTTTGTATAACTAGAACATATCAATTTTCACTGAAATGGTTTATGTGAAGTATCTAAGGTGAATCAAACTGCAGAAAACTTGCCTGATACTTTTTCTCTCATTTCCTTTATCTCTATGGCTTTATATCTATTTCTATATCGTTCCTTTTTAGCTTTTTATTTTATTTTTATTTTTATCTATTTCTTACACTTTTCTAGACACTTTCTTTGTATTTGTCTATTTCTATCCCTTTCTTTATTGTTTTATATCATTATTTTCATTTATCTTTCTACACTTGTCTATTCTCGATTTCTATTTACAGATCTGTATCCCTTTCTCTACCTAGTTATCTCTATATCTTTTTTTCAATATAATATTTTATTATTTTTATTCTATTTTCTATAATCTTTTATACTCTTTATATATATATATATATATATATATATATATATATATCTCCCTTCATCTCTCTTTGTTTATCTATCTTTCTCTCTCTTTCGATCTATCTCCATCCTTATTTCTTTACCCTTTTTTCATTTCATTATTTTTATTTATCTCCCTACACTTTTCTATGCTCTATTTCTATCTGTTTATATATATATATATATATATATATATATCTCTTTTTATATCCATCTATGTCTAAGCCTTTTTATTCTGTCTTATTTCATTAAATTATTTTTATTTATTTTTCCACACTTTTCCATACTCTATCTCTATCCTTTCTCTATTCACCTATCCCTATACCTTTTTCTCTTTTATTATTTTATTTTATTATATTTATCTAAGATGTTTTTACACTTTCCTGCAATATCCTTCAGCTTGAACTTTTTCGCTTGTTTTTTAAAAAAAGTGGAATGAAAGCAACCAAATATATTTTGGATTTATTCATTTTACTCCAAAATAGATAGTCAGCTTTGAGGTACAATTTTAGTACTAAAGTTTGATTCAAACTTGCACAGGATCAGAAGTAAAAACATTAATTATAAGCATATAAAAAGCACGCAGACT